AAAGACTAGGTGGGGGCAGAAATCTAAAAACAATGAGGAACTATGCAGATGAAGATTTAGTTCCTCCCAGGAACTACACAGATGAAGATTTGGTTCCTCCCAGGGTGTCTCTTGCAGGTGTGGTCTTGTCCTGGAGCATTACAGCATCACGGGATCATTGAGATCTCCCTTGTGACCTGAGGCCAAAACGGAATTATGTCTGGAATGTCCTAGCTGGGCTGTAGGCTGGAGAACTAGGCCTACTCAAATGATTTTTCCCTAGAATTATGTAGCATTGCTCCCAACACAAAATATCCCCAGAGGGCTCATATTTTCAGAGGTGGGGCATGTGTGTTGCATGTATGCATGTGTATAAAGAATACATGCATCCTGGGGAGTTGGTACATGTATATATTGCATCATAGATCTTTGTACTTACCCCTCCTCCCCTCTCTCTGAGGTGGGACTTTTGAAGGTGATTGGATCATGAAGGCTTGACTTCATCAGTGGATTAAACCATAGATAGATTTTAATTTAACAGGATTAGTGGATGGTAATGGAAACTGATAAAAGTGGGGCCTAGTTGAAAGGAGTTGGTCAGAGGGTGAGACCTTGGGGATTTTGTCCCTCTCTACCCTCCCCCGCCCAAGTAAGCAGCTTTATTCTGCCATGCTCTTTAGCTATGATTCTGCTTTGCCACGGGCCTAAAAGTTATGGAGCAGCTGAGCATGGACTGACACCTATTCAGCCCACTTGGCACCTCCTAGCTCCCTGGGCCTCTACCTGGTCAAGGGGCTTACAAACAAACACCCAGAGAACTGGGGTCCTGCATACTCAGTCTTATGCTGGAAGCTGGAAGCTGGAAGGTGGTGGTGCCACAATACATTTGCCTTTTGGCCACTTCTCTAAGTACCCAGCATGTTCCAGCCAAGAGATGGTGATATTTTTGGAGATCAGCCCTCTGCTGTGGGTTGAGACAACCAGCTGAGGGAAACATGGTGGCTCAACTTCCAGGCTATCTTCTAGAGGCTGATGGGAGGGGGACTCCCAAGCCATGGGGCAGGAGTCCCCGTGAGGGCCTGCACTGTCCTGTGAGAATCCCTATGCCACAGGAGCTGGATTGCATTGGGCTCCACATATGTAGCCAGCCACAATTGTATGGGCATATGCCAAAGCCAGCCTCCACAGTGAAGAGGCATTTGTGGGAAGTGTCCCACCATGCTTTCTGTTTGAAGAACAATATAAGCAGGAAAAGAAGATTCACAGTGCTTTGGTACAGGAAGTTTCTTCCCCCTTATCCACACTGCCCTACACTCACAGGGAGCTCAGCTTCTCCTATGAACCTAAAATGGTAAAGCAGCTGGGCCATCAAGGCACTGAGACATGAAATCCATACCATTATCTGTGATTTCCCCAATGATATATCCTCTGGCCTTCTCTAGGTGACCAAAGAGTATAATAAAAGATGATGAGTCACATGGCTGCTTTTGAAGCTCTCTGCCTGGGCCATTCATGAGAAGTGAGGCAGAACTGAACTCAGAATTGAGGGGGATGAGAATGTCTGCCCTTACAGTCGACTTGCCTAGTCCTTAGAATGACCTGCATCAGAATTAGCTCATTCTGCAGTGAGACTCTGAGGAAAATCCAGAGAAGCTGGTTCCTATCAGATGGAAAGGAACTGAATCTAACCATAAGCAACCATGAAGACAGATGGCCAGAGGGTGACATCACAGGCAGCTCTTGGTATAAGCACTTGGATCCGCTCAGAGACAATCAAAGAGTCATCTGCTTTTTGGCTCATGCAGTCAGGGAAGTACTTGTGCCAGACTCCAAAGCAGTGACAGACCACAGAAAGAATGGCTAAATTGTTAGAATGGACACAGCCACCTGTACCATTTGAATAACATAGCTGTTGTAACTGTGCTTTCCAGTGTGTTTTTTGAACCCAGAAAAGATAAGAATTCTGGAGTCGAAGCAATCTTATGTTTTCAGTGCATCCAGTCAACCATAAGGCAGCACAGCTGATTTCTGATGATCTGTACAGAGGGAGCGATCTGTGGGCACCAAGAAGCCAAATCTACACTCACCCCATTTTATCTAAAATTTGCCACATCTTTCTATCCATGAACTTTACTGGAGCTGGGCACAAGTTGCAGAATTAACTATTTCATCTGTTTCATTCTTTTGACCTGTGGTTGGAGCTACCAATCAGCAAAGAATTATTTGAACAATGTAGAGTAGGAAAAAGAGAAAACTGGGTAATCAAAAGATTCTTATCAAATAGATAACAAGTACAAATTCCTGTGTATAATACAATGAAAATAGCTGGAAATTTAGTGTTCAATCCTTATGAGAATACAAATATTTGAGGGAGAAAGATAGCAATGCCGTATTTGGAAGCAGTTACCGATTTAACAGTTTTTAATAAAGAAGATAACTAACAAAGATAACTAAGCTTGCCATGAAAAAGGGAGGAGGAAGAGGAGGGGGAAGAACAATACAAATAAGAGAATGAAGCCATGAAAAGTGTATTTCAGACTCAAAAGAATGCCCTCCCCATGTTCTCTGAATACAATCATGAATTTGGGGGACTTTAATTCATAATATTCAGAGTCTAAGGATTATAATACAAAAAAGAAGTAAAAATGGGAGGAAGTATGAAAAAATTGTATTTGCACTGAAATTTAGCTGTGGCTGCTGTTCTTGGTAACTGGAAGTCTGCAGTCTAAGCCGACTTAGAACATCCCTGATAGCACTGACAGAAGGAACTGAGAAACTCTGAGTCGAGTTTCAGAAGCCCAGATGTTTAGCATATAATGCAGAGGCTTTGGAGGTCCAGGTAACATGAATGCATGGTTCTCTTTATTGTTCTCATGTTTCCTGCACCCCTAACTCTTTATAGAGGAAAAAAACCCTGAGGCATTTTTAGGTAAATGAATGTCCCTCAATACCATAATCTTAAGTGAAATAAATCTGACACACAAGTTTACGCATTACACTGTTTCTCTTATATGAGAAACCCAAAGTATAAATAAGGAGCAAAAAATAAAAGGTAGATATTAGGAAGTAGGAAGATCTTTTTCAAATAGGAAGAGGAACAAGAGGGGAGAGGGAAAAAAGGAAAAAGGGATTCTAAAAGAGCTGAAAAATGTAAATAGAGCTTTTGCAAATAGGGAGGAAAAAAGAACTGGCAAGAGCAGAGAGGGGAAAAGGAAAAGGACAAAAGAATTAAGATGTATTATGTACATGTACAAACTCATGACAAATGTAATCATTATGTTCTACAAACGTATTCATAAAAAAAGAAATACATGCCAGGGGGAGGAGTGTGCATGTTTGCACATATATTTACTGAAAGAATTTTAGCTTAAAGTTGCATATGTTCCCACTGTACTCATTTTCTAAATACTGTTTTGTGAAATAAGTCAAATTTTATAGCTAATGAAATTAAAAAAAAATAAAGAAGTAGATCACAGTGAATACTGCCAATGTTCTTATGAAACATTTTTTAAAAGTTTTCTTGGCTCCTCCCTTGACCACAATTCAGCCAATTGCTGGTTTATCAGTATTGGGAAACCTCTTTTTTCTCATGCCACCAATCTCTCCTATGTCCAATCTACAAGTATTCATGAAGTGCCTGTGTGCTGGGCTTTTCATACCTTCTCTGTCCAGCCTGCCCCAGGCCATCTAGCTTCCTGTGGTCCTGTACTCATAGTCATGTGCTTCCACAGCATGCATAACATTTACCATTTCATTTTCTATTCCAAATTTAAAGAAAGTAACACTGGGCACCTGGTTGGGATACAGCCCCAATCTCCACTGATCTTCCCCTCTGTGCACCTTAGTTTCCTCATCTGGAACCAACAGATGAGGTAACTAGGCTAGGGGGCTTCAGCCGTTGCTTACATGGGTTGTTTTTACCTCCATTTTACACCTGAAAAACTAGAATCAGTCTAGGTGTGATTGGCTCAGAACTCGGTGAGCGGAAGGATGGGAATGTTTTTGGACCCAAAGCTCTACTATACCCTTGTAAGGTCATCTGAAATGGCTCCATTTTTGTACAGTTCAGTACACTAGCCACTAGCTATATGTGGTTGTATAAATTTAGATTAAAATTAAAAATTCAGTTCCTCACTATATTTCAAGTGTCTGGTGGTCACATGTGGCTAGCGGCTGCCACACTTCCAGTGCAAATGATTAGACATTTCCATGAGCATAGAAAGTTTAGGCTAGAATTCATAGTTATCACTGGCTTCTAGGAGTCTCTTATTTCTCAGCCTGGAATTCAAGGCATTCCAGTCTGACCCCAGCTCTCCTATACTGTAACAACACTCAGGGACTTCAGTGAGGCTCTTTCTGTACCTGGCAGATTGGGCTCTATTTCTTTGTTCCCTATCATACCTAACAGTGCCTCTCACAGGGCAGATACTGAACATTTGAATGGATGGATAGATGGACAAGTGGAAGAAAGGGAGGGTGGCATACATTTATGCTTTCATTAGCAAATACTTATTGAGGATTACTAAGTGAACAGATAAGATCTCATGAAACTTACTGAGCTGGTGGGAAAAAGAGAACAGATCATAAGAAAGTTGACAAGTAAATAGAAATTCAGGTAGTGCTAAGTGTTATGAGGAAAATGAAAGCATGCTATTCTATGCTGAATGAAAATGAGAGTGAAACTGAAGAAATTATAGATGCAGTGGTCTCTGGTGAAGTACCATTTAAACTCAAATCTGAACAATCAGAAAGACCAACCATATAAAGACCTGGGTGAAACATATTCCACAAAGAAGAAACTTCACTCTTGAAATTGTACTTTTCATACTTGAGCAACATGTTTGTCAGCTTCTGATTTATGGGTCACTGTAAATCCCCAGTTTAGTAATCTTTAAAAATTACCTGAAGGAAGGATGCAACAAGGAAGTGAGTGTAACAATTTAGGAAGAGAGATTAATAAGGAGTACATTAAAGTCGAAGTGGCACTTACTTCTATGATGTTCTCTTCTTTTGTTGTATAGCTTTGTTCCTGGAACACAAAAAGCTCCCCTCAAAGATGCATTACAGGAAGTGAAACTCTTTCAAGACAAAAAATTTATTTCAAAAGCAGAAAGAGGTGGCAGAGATGAAGCTATACGAAATTTTCCTGGAAGCATATACCTTACCTTTAAAAATGGAAGAAGAGTGATAAAAACTATTCCTAAACGACAGGATAATGGAAGTGCTTGAAAAATTGATCCTTAGAAAACATGGTAACGTGGATTTAAATAATGACCAAATCACTCCACACCTCTGAGCAAATTTTATTTGGGTATCTGGCTGCATCCGCAGGTCTACTCTGGGGGGTAACTAGCCATAGGCTGATGATCAGGTAACTTAATACTTTGTCCATTTATTTGACCACTCATGACAACTCCAGCACTCCAAAACAAAATCTAATGGAGACATAATTTGAAAGTAAATTTTACATTAAGTGTATTTGTGTACATGGCCAATGGTAATACTTTGGGTTGCAGGTATCTGTTCAGTCCATTTTCTGCAAAGCAAGCTTTCTTAATTTAGTACTGTTCAATTCTCATCTATTTAACCAAAGAGGTTTAATGTTTAGGCTACTCTAACATTTACCCTAGAAATCAGTGCTCTTTCTGTGTCATGTTTTTGGAAACTGGACCTTTTGCCTCTCACTTTTGGCAGTGTTAGCTTGGACTGGTGAGCAGCAGAGGGTAATTTTCTCCAACTCTAAATCCTCCTAAACTCACCAAGGAACTCATTAATTCTCCCAGATCATAAATGATTGCTTTGGAGCTGGAAGTTTTATCTCTTTCATAGAATTTACTGCCAAGCCATTCTGATGGATTTCCACTTACTCTTTCCTGTTATAGTCATTTATTTTCACTAATCCATATATTCTTTAGACAAGAAAAGTAAAGAAAAAACTCTGGGTTACTTTCACCCATTAGGGGGACACTGAGTCAACAGTGAACAGCACCAATATAGGATTGGCAGAACTCTGTCTGAAAAGAGCCTTATGTGGACACTAATTTTGGAAAAGGCAAGAAAATCTTCAACATTTTAATCTATGAATCCATATGGGTTGGATAAATGTAAGATCAGAGTTGTCTTCCCAGTGCCTAGCCTCTAGCTGCAGTTTTTGATGGCTTTGATACCTCTTCTCCATCCAAGTTTTACTGTTATAATGGGGCTGATACTTTTAACAACTAAATGCCAAAGTAGCATTATGTATTCAAAAACAATGTTGAGAACTTACGTCAGCCTAAGAGCTGGCTCCATAGTTGGTAGCAATGGCCATGATATACACAAACTGTCACTGTCTTCAAGAAGGAAGAAAAGCCCTACATAGACATATGGGCAGAAAGCTACGGACACCAAAGCCCAGTGGGCTGCATTCAGATTTTCTTTTCTATACTTCTTTTCATAAAGCCTGGAAAGAAGACCCACATGAAATACTTTTTAAAACCACTTCTGACATCCTTATTCAGGAAACTACATAAAGAGAGCTCCCAATGTCTTCAGAGGAGCAAGACCTCCAAAAAGTTCAATGTCATACTCAGGTAACAGAGAAGAAAAAAAGCACATCAGGTTTCTTCATCTGTCCTAAATGGTGCTTAGGAGTTCAGGCAAAAACTTAGGTTTCAAGTACAGGAGACTGATGAGCAATATTTAATAGGTATTTTAGTAACAAAGATTTTTCTAATTAACTTTGAATTAAGCACAAACACCTTTCTTCTGTTTATTGTTGGAAATACTTTGAGAATGTATTTTTTTTTCCTATGTTGGTAAGTACACCAAACAAATATTCCCTTGGTGATTAAGATTATTTTAGCATTTCGGGTCATATTTAATCATTAATAGGTTAGGGGTCTGAAGCCAAGCTGCAAACAGAAATTAAAAACAAAAAAACACAAGTCCCTGTATCAGCACTTTCCATGATTTCTCTTTCTCCTAAAAGTAGAAAACAGCAAAAACTAACTTGAATGTAAATTTAATAAATGAATATTAAAATCAAGAATCAAAATAGTACCAATTGTTGACTTAAAAATTAACTTAATTGACTATAATGGACCTGCTTCCCATTATCTGCATTGAGCTACAAGTCAAACTTGTTGAAAGAAAATAGAAGTAAATAAAGAGATGTGACTTCAGATTGTAATGCTAAGTAACAATTTAACCAAATAATCTATTCTTTAAAAAGTGTACAGTTATTTGGGAACTGTGATCTTAGGAATGGATAGCAGGAAGGAAAGAAAGAATATCCCTGTCTTATCAGACTCACGACTTATCCTGAAGCCTATTCTCCATGCAACAATTTATATAACAAAAAATTTTCCCTAACCCTGCAGACTCTAAAATCTGACTTAATGGCTAGAACCCTGTAAATATGGCCATAGCATACTGAGAAGGAAAGAGGAAATACAACATGACAATGCCAATGCCAATCCTGCAAAATCCACAAATCTTGAAAGGCTTTAGCTAAGTGGGAAAGGCCAGTTTGGGCATTTAAAAAATATAAATTTTTGGCATGTTTTCAACTTGATCTTTTTTTCATGGATTTAATAAATACATGGGATAAATGAAAGCTGATGGTAGAGAGGCATTTATGATAGAGCTTACAAAAAATAAAAATGGCCAAGAACAGCCACATTTCTCTAGAGCTGATACACAAAGGATCAATCCTATAGTGTTAAATAACTAATAAGGTAGACTGTAAAAGACAAAGATACAGTAACTGAGCAGGAAGTCCAGAGTATTTCTAACACTGCTTTCTTGGGGCACTCAGTCTGTTTCTCCACTTCAAAACAAGTGCTGCTAGAAAATTTATCCCTCTGCTTACATTTACTATGTAAAACATCACCCAAACCAAACCAAAAACTCATAGGATGCTTGAATACAGCATTGGTTTGAATACCATTTTTAATAACAAAACTGTTTACATTACAATAGCTTATAACCATCTTCTTCAGTACAAAATAGATGGAGATCATATTTGTCTCCACATTTGACATTTCTCACTTCTGACATATACAATAAAAAGTTCCAGATATTGTCTGGCTGACTCTTGCAGAGATTTGCACAAGTAAACTAGCCAAGTCAGCTGCTTTCTCTACTTTGAGTGGGATCTGTTAGTTATGAAAGAGTAATACAGACATTTTTTAAATTAAGTAAATGAATTTGTTCTTCTGTTCTCTAGAGATATTTTTTCTCTAGAATTATACACATTTATAACTTTATATAAGTCAGTAGATTTTTATTTCCACACCTTTACAATCCCATCTCTAGAACCAGTCACGATGAAGCCCTGTGTTGTCTGGAAGGTAGCAACATCTGTGATGATGTCATGATGTCCCACAGGCAAAGACTCCGGGCCCCTTCGAGGGGTATCATCGCTTGGTCCTACTTTCTGTTTGTTCTGAATTTCCTGTTTGATGATTAGAAGTCAAGGAGAAAGTCAGAAATTAAATCTGTATAACATTCTACTTCCTATCACCTTCTACTTCCTATCAGTGTCCGTGCTTCTAGGATATGTTGTTGCTCTGAAGTTAATACTTCATGGAAAGTAATCGGCTTTCACAAATAGCTGAGCAAAGAGAGTAAAATCCGTTGATCCAAAATAACATCTAGATTTCCAGTCACTGAATCACCTGAGTAGCCACTTACAAGTATGGAACACTTATAAATGGCCAATATTTTGTGCATACTACATTTTATTAACATTAAGGAAAAAAGGGCACAGAATATTTCAGATGTTCTAGCCATTTTTCTAAAGCTCCTTAGGAAGCATACTTCTTTTATGGAGACTTACTTTGGCCAGACGAAAAAATGACTTAGACAAATATTTCAAATGTGACAAGAATAAAGTTTTACAGTCCCCAAAGCTGTGTCTGAATCTTAGTTTTCTGTTTACTGGCTGTGTGATCTTGGGCTAATAACAACTTTTCCATGCCTAATTTTCTTGATTAAGGAAAATTAAAATTCTTTCATATATACTTCTCAGTCCTTAACTTTGTAAAGTGCCTTCTATTCATTTTGAGTTACACATTTATGTGTATATTCTTTATTATAACTTAATACAGAAAAGCCAAGAGAAAATAAACATATTTTTTAAATTCGAAAGACTATTGCCAATCTTGACCAAAGTCATTTTTGTACCTACATAGGTTGAAAGAAACAAATAAAAAGTATAATACCTGTACAACCTCAGTGCCTTCTATTATTTTTCTATAGTAGGACACAGATGGGGAACTAGTACTTCCTGCCACAACATAAGATCTTTCTGGGTAAGCCAAGTCCCAAAACCTAGGGAAGAAGAAATAAATGCTGATAATCTCTACTGAATAATGGGCAGAATTAATCACTGCCATACATTCATCAACACTGTTTCATTCACATAATGAAAAGAGATGTTTCCAAAACCAAAAGGATTAAGATTAATTACAAGTAAAGTATATTGATACTTGTCCTTTCAAAGTGTTGATAATTTTCATAAACCAAAGTATCCATCTATGTTTTAAGAATCAAGTATTCTTTGAGATACTGTACCTTATTTTCATGTCTGAGCCAGCTGTTAGCAGGATAGGATTCCCATCTGCAGGACTGCAGTAGATACCATGGACACTGTGAGGAGAAGGCTTAAAAGAAATATGGAGTCAAATAAGAGACATCAGTGTACCCACAATGACAGTACCATTTCTAGAGGCAAGTTAACTCTCAATAGCTTTATAAGCATCTCGTTAGGTGAAAAAATTAGACATATTGGGACTTTAAAATATAGTTCCTTCTATCATTCTGAACAGAGAGGATAGCCTGTTTAGCTTCTTAAAATTTTTTCTTTGGGACCATCCTGAGCATGAACCCAACTAAAGAAGAAAATCTGTTCTACCTTTTGCCCCAATGAAATACCCTTGGCAACATGACTATTAAAAACAAAAGTATAGGTGGTCCTCAATTTATCTTGGAGTTATGTTCTGATAAATGCACTGTGAGTTGAAAATTCATTTAATATGCCTAACCTAGAGTATCAGTTCTTTACCCTTGTGATACAACCAGGAGGTAGAGCTCACTGCCACTGCCCAATATCACAAGAGTATCATAACACATATTGCTAGCCTGGAAAAAGACCACAATAAAAAGTACAGTTTCTAGTGAATGCATATCACTTTTGTACTATCATCATAATGTCAAAAAATTGTAATTCGGACCATCTTCAGTGAGGGCCCTCTGTATATGTAAAAAGGTGATATTCCATTCTTTAAGAATCTAAACTTCAATCTAGGCTTTGCCTGATTAATTCAGGACTATGGGGGTTCCAAAGAAATATCACAAGCCTTATGGAGTTAGCAATTAAAACTTTCAATGAAGCAGAGAGTAGCAAGCTTAAGGAATTAGAAAACACCTGTGCAGCAATGGCCACATGATACTTGATGTTATTAAAAACCTAAATTTAAATATAACCCAAAAGCCCAACAGAGAACACATTGGCTAAAAATGCCTAAATGTGCTTAGGATGTGGACAATAATATCATCCATTATAGTAAAAACTGAAGACAAACCTGTAACTCAGAAAGTGGTGGTGCACTGCTGGCCCAGAGAGTAAATCTTCTGTCACCAGTCTCCATGTCCCACATGGATACTTCATTATTGCCCTGAACAGCTATGAGAAGGAAAGTCCAGAACTATTAAATAAAGAAGGAAAACTCACTTTCACAGCTTTCACATCTTGGTAGGTAATACAAGTCAGCTTGTATCCATTTCCATTTTCCCACTTTGTAAGAAATGTTGACTAGTACTTTCAAACAACAACTTTAATTCTGCTACCAAACAGGAGTTTTTGTTTTTGTTTTTTCCAAACAACCTAACAGTAATCTAGCAGTAAATTATTTATTGATCACCAACCAGCTGAAAACAAGTGTAGGGTAGA